TCCCTACATTCTAAATGTTATTTTTTATTTCAAATTTCAATTTTATGTTGCAAGCATAAAGGAAAGCTATTTATTTCTGTATATTGACGTTGTATTCATGAACATTGTTCCAATCGGTCATTAGTTTCAGGTTTTTTTTTCACATTTGCTTTTGTCTATTTTGGAAATATTTCCTATGATTGCAATCATCCATCTGCAAACAAATACAATTTTATTTTCTCTTCCCAATCTAGATGCTGTTTAATTCATCTATCTCTTTTACTGACATAACTACGTATTTCAGTATTGTAAAGACCAGGAGTAGTAAGATGAGTCATCTTTGTACTCATCCCAATCTAAGGAGGAAATGTCTAGTTTTTTAACATTAAGTATGATGTTGACTAGTTTTTCAAGAAACATGGTTTTATCAAGTTAACAAGTACCTTAAATCCCTACAACACCAGGGCTTCTTTGTTCTTATTTTATCATGAATCATCACTGGGTTTTGACAAGTCCCAACTTTTTCTGCATTGCCATAAGGTAGGTGTTCATGCACAGTGACTCTGTAAGACAGAGGAGCACTTCCTCAAATCATTTTTTCCCCTCAAATCATTTTTAAGGCTGCAAATCTTTACAGATGTACACTACCTCATCTTGAAAGGTAGTGATAGTTTATTATGTATTTTTGTACTTATACTTATCCAACCAAGTATTTCTCAGGTCTTATATTGCCATTATCTGTTTGGAGGTATAACCCTATGCTGGAATCCTGGAGAGAATTAGGAAGTTTCTCTCTATCTCTAACCTCTGGAAGAGCGTATAGATAGTTGTGATCCTTAACCAACATTCATCTTTCAGTGTGTCATACTGTTGTGGCTTGCATGTTGCTATGATCCTGAAGAATTCTCCCAGCATTTCGTAAATAGGAACTCAAGAAAAAATGGACACCTCGAGTTGAAATATTTTAAAAAATGATGAAGCCAACGAGCTAAACAAAAATGTGTAAAGACCTAGAGTTATAAAACCAAAAGGGAAAAATAATCTCGGCATAGCTTAAAACTGAAATAACTCTAGAAAAATGTCAAGCCTTGAGTTGCAATATTGAGGGAAAATATGGGCAAAATATTGAATGATACAGGAAGCATCAAAAAAAGATGGAAAGAATACACAGAGTCACTATACCAAAAGCACTTGTTGACAATCCATCATCTCAGGAGGTAATAGAGGAGCAAAACCCAATGGTGCTGAAGGAAGAAGTTCAAGTTGTTCTAAAAGCATTATCCAATAACAAGACTCCAGGAATTGATGGAATACTAGCGGAAATATTTCAACAAACTGATTAAGTAATCTTATAGCAAGAAGGCATTCCAGCTTGGGCTAACTCAAGTCCATACGTTTAATACAAGTCAGGGTTCTCTTCAGTTGCACAGAGCTGCCGGCCAGTGACGCTCCTCAGCTGAATGTGCTGAGGAAAGAAACTTTTCTTAGATGTGAAGGATCTTCATTCTAGATGGGACCTTGTTAGTCTGTATACATAACCAAAGTAAAATTAGGGAAAGCCATCTATCAAGTCAGCAAGCAATGTGCACCACCTCACAGGGTGAAACATCTTCCTTTTCATCGACGGTATTCTGGTCACCTCAGTGCTGGGTATTTCAAGGGAGGTTCATGGCCCCATAGATAGAGATTTCCCCCTACAACTCCTCCCTCTTAGATCACTGGCCCCTTCATGAATTCCTAATGACCTTAACCCCTTTGTGCTAGGTCTTACCATAGGCTCAGATTTCATGCAACTCTTTAAACTTCAGAGCAGTCAGCCAGCTCTTGTCTCTGCTCTAGTCCCTGTGAACTAAATTCAAAGGCATCAATGGCCAGAATTAACCTCCATTGCTGCATTTCCCCCACTTTCAATCAACACGTGTACCCAGGTGGTATTCCAGAGAGGATCTCAGGCTGCCAGAAGGCTAAATCAGTTTTAGGGGGCAGGGTTCTCTGATTGGCCTAGACTTTTCCAGCGTAAACACCAACAGCTGGCTCAAAATGCAAAAAGCCAGAGTCTATCTTTTTTTTTTTTTTTTTACTTTAAAGATACTTTATTAAGAGCAACGATTTTTCCATTAACTTATAAATTCTTCCTAGAGTCACAAAGGAAATAAATAATAAAAATGTGTATCTTCCAGAGGCTTTTAACAACATAACTTTATAAATCTAAAAAGTTTCCATGGTTGTCAACGGAAAATATTATTGTATTTAGATATATCCAGTCATTAAATAATATCACGAATGCCCACAGATTAAGATACCAGCAAGCTCCATATTGGTAAGTAAAACCAGAGTTTGGAAAAAAAACCAACAACCCCAAAACCCCTAAACTTTAATTTCACCTTTTCTTTTTTTTAATATCATTTTATTAGGGGCTCATACGACTCTTATCACAATTGTGTCAAGCACATTTGTACATATGTTGCCATCATCATTCTCAAAACACCTGCTTTCTACTTGAGCGCTTGGTATCAGCTCATTTTTTCCCCTCCCTCCCAATTCTATCTGTTCAGTTTTAACCATCTCATCAGTTATGGGAGTACAGAATTTCCTTGTTGGTCTTAGATTTTAAGAATATGGGTTTAAAGTAAATCATTCTCTTCTCATATATTGGCTAACATTTGGG